TGAGTAATAAATCAGGACGTAAATGCAAAGTGTTTATGACCTCAAATCAAATAAAAGCCTAGATTTGAATATATTTTAAAAATTGAGTTGATGAAGGTAATAAGAAATAATGCATTTATCTGCTTGTTTTGCTTGTTTTTCTTTTACTAATTGGAGAATAAAATTGAATGCTTTGTGTGTTTTTTTTTTCTCAGGTTCAAAAGAAAGTGAAGCATTGACTGATGCAAAGAATAACTTCAGCAGAACATCTTTTTATTATATTATCCTCCCCACAAAACCAATTTCCAAAACTTTAAATAAAACTCCACAACCGAACAGCTGTATGTCTTTGTTTCCGTGAGCAGAGATTAGATACAAGTAACTCATTTGAATAAACCCCACCTACACACATCACACAATCACTCTGAAATGGGCACTTCCTTTCAGATACCCCAATCAAGACAGACTTTGTCAAAGCTGACCAATCAGAGCAGAGCTTCAAACTGAATCAAAATAAATGTAACATGATTCTAGTATTAAATCATCTGAGAAAAAGACCTCAGATGTATGAAACCGGTTGTTGGAGACGCTAACATAATATTAAAACACTTTAAAATACCACACGAGCGGCTTTTTAAGCCCAGTGATTCTGTGGAGTGAACGTGACGTGGAGCTGATTTACTCGTCTGGTGTTAGAGAGCCAAAAAGATTAAAAAAAAAAACACCAACATTAAACAATGAATCATTTCTGAGGCAGGAAACTCTTATCAGCTGGCCTTGAGGAGAATGATGACTGAAAATCCCCCCAAAACTATGAAGCAAGAGAGAAATTTGTGAAGCTCACACTGTATTCTTCACTGTAGAAAGGAAGTTAGACATTTACTCTTAAGAAAAAAAAAATATATATATATATATATATATATATATATATATATATATATATATGAGAAATATCCTGTGGTGGGTGTGAGTAGCAGTGTGATATGGCTGTATAGCAGGACGGGTGGGAGGCGTGCCTTAGCGTCCCACCAGTGCTGATATACAGCCATATCACACTGCTACTCGTTGGATATTGCGTTTATACAACAGTTCAATGGCACAATAGTGTATATAAATCAGAAAATCTAACACAGAGAGTCTAAAAACCCTTTTTATTAGGAACTAATTCACCAACGTCACTGTAGAGCTAGTGTTTGAATGACTCTGTCTAAAGTGATGACAAAACTGCTGATTTTGGAAAGGATGGGATATCATGCAGCTGGTTTTGGGCGGCTGCTTCGATCAGGTACTGTACCATACCAAAGTTGGCAACCCGGGGGTGTTTGGTTTACAGACTGTACCAAAGAGGAGGGGCGGGTGAAATTACCTGAGTTTTTTTAGGAAGAAATAAAAACGGCATGTTTGCGGGAAACAGGTCTGATATACGGGATACTCCCATTAAAAACAAGTGTTGGCAGGTGTGCTCACCAGTTTAATATTGGTTTGGTCTACTTTAGTTAGAAATCAGACTGTTACATCTTCTAAGTGTAAGGGCTTATTATGTGGTTTTGTCGCCATCTTGTGGATAGAAAACGTCAACCATTAAAATGGGCACTATTCTTGCAAATAAAAAGTATATTTTGTTGTGTAACAGCAGGAATATTTGTCAAACTGTCGCGTCTGCTTGTTGCTGACTGTATGTGGGCGGAGTAACACATAAGGGGTAAAAAGGCTGTACAGGTGCTGATATTAAATATATCACGGCTATCAGCCAATCAGATTCGAGTACCAGACAGAACTGTTGTATAAATATCTATAGATAGATAGAGCTATAGATAAATAGATGGATAGATGGATATTTAGTTGAAGTCAGAACTATTAGCCCCACTTAGATTTTTTTTCTTTTTTTTAAATATTATTATTATTAATTTCTTTTTTTATTATTATTTTATGCAACCATTAAAATAAAATATCTCAAATGGTGCTTTTTTGTAATTCACATGATTTTTAAACATTAATAAAACTTAAATCGCTGCTATTTAAGATTAATTCAAGAATATTTTGCAGTGTGATTTAATCTTTAAATTTAAACGAGTTCAAAAATGTGTAGAATTGGCCAAATAAAGTTATAATAATAGGCATATTATCAACATGAACATTTATTTTCTTCATAATTGTCTAAATATATTTGTAAAGAAATTGCAGGGTTTTTGTTGTGTCTGGGTAAAGTTGACATTTAGTAAACATGAAGCTTCACTCGGGTCCAAGTTCATGTGGATTCACTCGGAAATGATTCACTTTTTAATGACTGAATGTTGAGAGTGCTTCATTTCTCAGCGACTCCTGCTAAAACTACTGGTATTGAAAACTTTATTACAGTTATAGTCAATCATTTACTACAGCATTTTAATTACTTGGCACGTTTTGAGTGGACGTTTTCTTGCTTACTTATTTGGCGAATCAGATCAGTGTTGAGCTTCAGTTTCCAGGGCTGTGTTCCAGTTCTCCAAGGATTCACCTGTTTTGCTCTACTTTTTTTTCTCTCTCAATTCAATTCAGTTCACTTTATTGGCATGGCACATATTGCTAAAGTGTACATAGCAGGGTGGGAAAATTCAATATAAATAATAGTAGTAATTATAATATTAATTAAAAAAATAACAATAATATATTAAAAAAAAAGAAAAATTGTAAGATTAAATATAGGACTAGATAAAATAAAATACATATAAAACATTACATTTATCTCTCTCTCTCTCTCTCTTGTGTTTTTCTTTCCCCTCTTTGCGGTGAGCTCATGTTTTGCATCAAGCCACAGCATGTTCTCATAATAGGTTTTAGTTTTGGGAAAAGGCCTCTGGCAGGTGATTGGTTGCTCTTCAGTAATAGTTTATTTGCAAACACAAAAGCTGTGAAGGTCTAAAAATCTTGTTTGCAAACTATCTGTCGGTAAATAACCTACATAATGAATGTAATGTCATTTTAAAGCAGCTATTTTTTTTTATTGAAATTGCATTTGTACATATAGTATAGTCAACGTTTGATGTGTTTTTAAAAATCGTCCAAAGATAAGAATGAGGGTTGTTCAATAGATTAAGGACAACTTTGATCAAAGGTTTTGAAGCACTTCTTATGTTGACTACTGCATATACATGATATTTCTACTCTGTTTGAGGAGGCTTTGTTTATTTACTTTTGATTTAACTATAAGCTTATCTAAGGACAAAAATCCTAAATAAACTCTAAATTGTTTAGTTTTATTGTAATAAATGTATGCTTCCCTTCTATTTGTTTGATTTGACTCTGAAATACATTTTAAAATTCAGCGATATTTTGGTAAATGAGGTTGAAATTTAAATATTCTGTATATTCAATTTAAATTACAAATATTATTGAGCGTCACACTTGTATTTATACTTGAGTATGTATTTTTTACTTTATTTATAGTAGTTTTTATGAAAACAACACCCAATGGCGTACATCATGTACAGTTTGAATTTTTTTTCTTTCTTTTTTTTTTTATATTTCCCAAATGATGTTTAACAGAGCAAGGAAATTTTCATGGTATGTCTGATAATATTTGTTTTCCTGGAGAAAGTTTTGTTTGTTTTATTTTGGCTAGGATAAAAGCGGTTCTTAATTTTTAAAAACCCATTTTAAGGTATTATTAGCCTCTTTAAGCTATTTTTTCCCCGATAGTCTACAGAACAAACCATCATTATACAATAACTTGCCTAATTACCCTAACCAGCCCTAGCCTAATTAACCTAGTTAAGCCTTTAAATGTCACTTTAAGCTGTATAAAGTGACATTTAAAGGCTTAATTAGGTTAACAGGTTAGGGTAATTAGGCAAGTTATTGTATAATGATGGTTTGTTCTGTAGACTATCGAAAAAAAAAAGTTAGCTTAAAAGGGCTAATAATTTTGTCCCAAAATGTTTTTTTTTTTTTTTTTTAAATTAAAAACTGCTTCTCCAGAGGAAAGAATATTATTTAAAATGTATATATATATGCTTCTTCCAGTCTCCGATTGTACTAGTTGGTCAGAAGTGTCATCTGTGCTATTTCTTCCTTTATAGTTAGCACTTCAGTACCTTGTCTTTGTCCTCTTTAAACTCTGTATAGAAAGTGCCTCTGTCATCTTTCATGTTTCTTCTCATTGCTAATAGCTGTTTTTGTGAGCACAGGAATTTCTGAATATGTAAGTAAGTTTTTGTGTCTTTCACAATTAGTGTCATTAAACCATCTAGACATTACAATGTTTATGTTAATTGGGATTTAATAATAATAATAATAATTATATATATATATATATATATATATATATATATATATATATATATATATATATATATATATATATATATATATAATTTTTTTTTTTTTTTTTAATTTCCACTTATTTCCCCCCACAATTGTTTCAAGACGCAACTATTGATCTATATATATATATATATATATATATATATATATATACACACACACACACACACACACACATACAGTTGAAGTCAGAATTATTGTATGTCTGATAATGTTTTTTTTTTCTTCAGGAGAAAGTCTTATTTGTTTTATTTCGGCAAGACAAAAAGGAGTTTTTAATTATTAGCCCCTTTAAGCAATTTCTTTTTTTTTATATAGTCTACAGAACAAACCATTGTTATACAATAACTTGCCTAATTATCCTAACCTGCCTAGTTACCCTAAATAACCTAGTTAAGCCTTTAAATGTCACTTCAGGCTGTATAGAAGTGTCTTGAAAAATGTCATCATGGCAAAGATTAAAATATTAAAATCAGTTATTAGAAATAAGTTATTAAAACTATTATGTTTAGAAAGTGTTGAAGAAATCTGCTCTCTGTTAAACAGACATTTGGGGAAAAATTAAACAGGGGTGTTGTTTTATTTTTGTTGACCCTGAAACACTATCAAATGAATTATGTTTGTAATAATTATATTTTCATTTCTCTTTCGTATCTCCCCCTTTTTTATGAGCCTCCACCATTGATCCTATATATTGACAGTTTAGAAACTTACGACAGGTTATCTCTAACAGATCTCTCCAAGGCAACTGCTGCTATTTATCGTGTATCACTTTCGGTTCTGACTCACTGCTGGTCTGCCCCGCCCACAGCACGAGAAACGAAACTAGAGCAGCATTTAAAGCCGCTGAGGAGATGAAGAAGACGCAGTATCACTGAAGACACCAGACGCAGGTGAGTGCTTGACATCATATTAAAAAACAATCGGTTTGTTTACTAACTTATCTGTATATCCTGGTGACATTCGCTGCCGCTGTTGTTTTCATTCTTCTCAAAGACAGCGGAGTTTGTTTGTGTTCATCCTGCTCATTTCCGGAAGTACATTAGTCACGCAGTCATTTATTCTTTCAGTGTCTATTTTTAAATAAAGAATAATATTCTCAGTATACAATATATTGTTACCTTATAATAAAACTTAATTCAACATTTTAATCAATCAAATAATACCTGTATACAATTGTATTAAATTATCGTTGCAATATTATTATAGGCTTTTATTTTGTATAGGTTATTTGCGAAATTAAGTTTGTTCTTTAGACTGTGTTGATATTTGTACAACAGATGAGAGAAAGATCTAACAGTTCAACAGCGCGTCCTATCAGCATTTTACTAAGCAGAATGAGGTTAGCTATTAAAAGTGAGCAGGCCTGTCGGACATCATGAACTGGCTATGTATGTGAATAAATAGCCTTTATAATGGATCTTTTTATCTATCCATCTATCATCTAGTATAGATATACATATAGATATGTATGTTTATTTATATACACTCACTGGCCACTTTATTAGGTACACCTTACTACAACCGGGTTGGACCCACTTTTGCCTTCAGAACTGCCTCAATCCTTCATGGCAAAGATTCAACAAGGTCCTGGACAAATTCCTCAGATTTTGCTTCATATTGACATGGGAGCATCACGCAGTTGCTGCAGATTTGTCGGCTGCACATCCATGATGCCAATCTCCTGTTCCACCACATCCCGAAGATGCTCTATTGCAGTGGTTCTCAAACTTTTTTCATCAAGTACCACCTCAGAAAAAAATTGTCTCTCCAAGTACCACCAAAATGAGCAGTATTGAAATACAGTAGCGTAATAGGCCCAGTAAAGCAGCTACAACTCTGCACAGTTAAAAAAAACGTGGCAGATTACCTCAGAAATATAGGCTATATGTAATATATGACATGTTATATACATAATTTTTTATACATTTTGAAATGTGTGTAGCATGTACATGACATATTTCATTCTTCCGCGTACCACTAGAAGGAAGCCTGCGTACCACTAGTGGTACACGTACCACAGTTTGAGAACCACTGCTCTATTGGATTGAGTTCTGGTGACTGTGGAGGCCATTTGAGTACAGTGAACTCAATGTCATGTTCAAGAAAGCAGTCTGAGATGATCTACGCTTTATGACGTGGTGTGTTATCCTGCTGGAAGTAGCCATCAGAAGATGGAGACACTGTGCTCATAGAGATGGACATGGTCAGCAGCAATACTCAGGTAGGCTGTGGCGTTGACACGATCCTTTTTTTGGTACTCATGGACCCAAAGTGTGACAAAAAAGTATACCCCACACCATTACACCACCACCACCACCAGCCTGAACATTTGACACAAGGCAGGATGGCGCTATGCTTTCATGGTGCTGACGCCAAATTCGACCCTACCTTTCTTCCCCATTTTGATGCTCAGTTTGAACTCCAGCAGATCGTCTTGACCATGTCTACACGCCTAAATGGATTGAGTTGCTGCCATGTGATTGGCTGATTAGAAATTTGCATTAACGAGCAGTTGGACAGGTGTACCTAATAAAGTGGCCGCTGTGTGTATAATGTGTGTGTGTATGCATATAAAAGTGTTTGTGCAGTGTGTATGTATTTTTTTGAACCATTACAGTGATTAATGAAATTTCAATCAACTCTATTCATTGTTAGAGAGATATTAGTGTTCTGATGACTTTTTAAAAATATTCTCAAATCTTTTTCAGTGATTTAATACATACATGCTATTTAAGATAAATAATTATGTTAATCAAAATATGCTACTGATTTACTATTCTATAGTATAGCGTAGTAGTACATCTACATTAGAAAAGAGACAATATGACTAAGCATTTCATGTCATGCAGACAATCTGACTTCACTGTCATATTCATTAATATTTCAGAGGACTGTGTGATGCTGTTCATCCAAATTTATTTGAGAAATCAACTGTAATGGAAGATTCAAGAAATGTACTAAAGTTACAGAGAAAATTTAGACAAATCAATGCATTAAATCCAGGATTTCAGAGACTATGGGAAAGGAAATGTACTGCAGGTGTTTACAAAGAAAAATAGTCCTGATTATCCCTGTGTATAACTAATGTGCAGAAAATAAATTTACTATAGAATGGCAAATCCAAGAGGAGGACCACAAAGAGGAAGAGGGGGCTTCAGTGTTCCTCCAAGAAGAGGTAAAAGTCTTTCTTCAAACTATTTTGCTGCTCTTTTAGAGCTGTGGTGAAAAAAACACTTGAGATATTCCATTCTGAGATTTTCAAAATGCATTGCTATTCTTTTTTAGGGTAATTTTTAACAGCAGATGGCGCTCTAGGGCAGTTTTTAACTGCAGATGGCACTCTAGGGCAGTTTTTAACAGCAGATGGCACTCTAGAGCAGTTTTTAACAGCAGATGGCACTCTAGGGTAGTTTTTAACAGCAGATGGCACTCTAGGGCAGTTTTTAACAGCAGATGGCACTCTAGGGCAGTTTTTAACAGCAGATGGCACTCTAGGGCAGTTTTTAACAGCAGATGGCACTCTAGGGCAGTTTTTAACAGCATATGGCACTCTAGGGCAGTTTTTAACAGCAGATGGCGCTCTAGAGTAGTTTTTAACTGCAGATGCCACTCTAGGGCAGTTTTTAACAGCAGATGGCGCTCTAGAGTAGTTTTTAACTGCAGATGGCACTCTAGGGCAGTTTTTAACAGCAGATGGCGCTCTAGAGTAGTTTTTAACTGCAGATGGCACTCTAGGGCAGTTTTTAACAGCAGATGGCGCTCTAGAGTAGTTTTTAACTGCAGATGGCGCTTTAGGGTAGTTTTTAACTGCAGATGTGCACTAAGGCAGTTTTTAACTAGAGATGGCACTCTAGGGTAGTTTTTAACAGCAGATGGCACTCTAGGGCAGTTTTTAACTAGAGATGGCACTCTAGGGCAGTTTTTAACAGCAGATGGCGCTCTAGAGTAGTTTTTAACTGCAGATGGCACTCTAGGGCAGTTTTTAACAGCAGATGGCGCTCTAGAGTAGTTTTTAACTGCAGATGGCACTCTAGGGCAGTTTTTAACAGCAGATGGCGCTCTAGAGTAGTTTTTAACTCCAGATGGCGCTTTAGGGTAGTTTTTAACTGCAGATGTGCACTAAGGCAGTTTTTAACTAGAGATGGCACTCTAGGGCAGTTTTTAACAGCATATGGCACTCTAGGGCAGTTTTTAACAGCAGATGGCGCTCTAGAGTAGTTTTTAACTGCAGATGGCACTCTAGGGCAGTTTTTAACAGCATATGGCACTCTAGGGCAGTTTTTAACGGTAACGGGTTTAATTTGGGACGGGAGCGGGCTGTCTAGCAATATCGCGGATATTGCTATGCGAAAGAGAGAGAGAGAGAGAGAGAGACAGAGAGAGAGAGACAGAGAGAGAGAGAGACAGAGAGAGAGAGAGAGAGAGAGAGAGACAGAGAGAGAGAGACAGAGAGAGACAGAGAGACAGAGAGAGAGAGACAGAGAGAGACAGAGAGAGAGAGAGAGAGAGAGAGAGAGAGAGCGAGCGAGCGAGCTTTGCCTGTGTGTGTGCGCTTGGTGCTTGTGTGTGTGTATGTTAGTGCGCGCGCGAATGAGAGAGAGAGAGAGCTTTCCCAGATAGCAAAATACACTCGGGCCAGTTCCGGCTAGATTCTCGCCTGCCGGAGACTTACCACTCAGCCCGGCTCCGGCTGCCGGACTCCGGATGCTTGTGGACTCACTGCCCGATTCCGGCCCGAATCAATCAGGCCAGATGCGGTGGCCGTAAGCGAGCCGACGCTGCCGCATCCGCGCCGGAATCGGCCAGAGAGTAATGTGCGCTGCGGCCTGGAGCTGGCACGACTCAGTATTTATATACCTTTATATAAAACCTTTTGGTATTACATTGGTACTTGATACATGGTATTACAAGCCTTTGAGTTGATATAACAGCAAACGCCTGTGTGTCTGCTTGGTGCTTGGTGCTTGTGTGTGTGTGTGTGTGTGTGTGTGTTAGTGCCCTATGAGAGAGTGATTTGTCTGTGTGTGTGTGCTTGGTGCTGTGTGTGTGTTTGTTCATACAGACAGCGTGGCTGTCTGGACTGTATAGCTGGGGGATTTTCGGTTTTGCTCTCCCCCGCTCTTTAGCAGGATCGGGCGCGGCGGCCAGAAAATGGGGCGGGTCGGGCAGCGGGACAATGAATTCTTAATATAAGCGGGAGCGGTCGGGTTCGGACTAAAACCTGGCGGGTGCGGGCGGGAGCGGGATTCAAAATGTAGTCCCGCGCAGATCTCTACACTAAGGCAGTTTTTAATAGCAGATGATGCTCTAGGATGGTTTTTTACAGTGGATGGTGCAGCGCACTAGGGCAGTTTTTAACAGCAGATGGCACTCTAGGATGTTTTTTTACAGTGGATGGCGCAGCGCACTAAGGAAGTTTTTAACAGCAGATGGTTCTCTAGTGTAGTTTTTAATAGCAGAGGGCGCCATAGGCCAGTTTTAAAAGCAGATGGCACTTTAGTGTAGTTTTTACTAGCAGATGGTGCTCTAGGGCAGTTTTTAACAGCAGATGGCGCTCTACATTAGTTTTTAACTCAAGATGGCACTCTAAGCTAGTTTTTAGTAGCAGATTGTGCTTTAGGCTAGTTTTTAACTGCAGATGACGCTCTAGAATAGTTTTTAACACAAGATGTCACTCTAAGCTAGTTTTTAGTAGTAGGTTGTGCTTTAGGCTGGTTTTTAACTGCAGATGCCACTTTTGGGTAGTTTTCAACAGCAGATGGCACTCTAGACTAGGTTTCAATTGCTACCAAGGAAGAGTAATTGTATGTTTGCTGAATAACGCAAGTTGGTTTTTATGAACACTCTTGTAATTTTCTTACATTTATAATTTTAGTTTCAAGTGGTATTTGTGAGATATTGGATGCTAGCAGAGTTTAGCTGTTTGTAAAGCATACAGTGCTACCTGCTGTTAAAACTAATCTCAGAATCGATTCAAGAGAGAATAGCAATTGGGTTTTGAAAATCTCTGAATTAATGCAGACTCAATTTCTCAAAGCTTTTTTTTTCTTACATCTTTGTACTTGTTAATTATACTACACAATTTTATTTAACAGATGGTTCTGTGCCTGGCCACAGACAAGCTAGTGTGTCTCCCAATCGAAGAAGAGGAAGTGGGGGAAGAGGGGAAGGAGGAGGAGGAAGAGGAGGTGGGGGAGGAGGAGGAAGAGGTGGAGGAATAGGAGGTGGGGGAAGAGGAAGTGGCCAAGGAGGAAGAGGAAGAGGAGGTGGACGAGGAAGAGGAAGTGGAGGAGAAAGGGACGGAAGGGGTCGAGGTGATAGAAGTCACCAACACACTGGTGAAAGTACAAACAGCCTGTGGGAAAGATGGACAGATGGAATAACTCAAAGTGCAAGAGGAAGAGATGGAAGAGGACAGAGGAAAGGGGAAAATAAGCAACATCATCAGGGAAATGCTGTCCACCGTCCTATAATAATGGGAGGTGCGACACATTTACCTTCACCTTACCAAGGGAAATTTGGGAGATCTCTTCCTGGGTTGATGCAATTAAACCTGACCCCATCTTCAATGCAACAACCCATGAATTCAAGACACGACCTTGAAGGCATGAGTCTCCAAAGAACAAGTGGAGGCATGAGTGATTTAAGAGCCAGTCCACAAGGTGAAGCACGAACAGAATCTCAAAGAGGTAGAGGTGGTCATTGGAGAGGAAGAGGGAGAGATGGCCCCCCTGAGGTACGCACACTTGGGTATAAAACACTTGAAGGTCTGCTTGAGAAAGAAGCATCCGAGGTGGCCATCACTCTTTCATCTAGCACTGGACTTAGGAATCTGCTTGAGGAAAAGGTGATGAGAAATGACTTGGTGCAGCTGGTCTGTCAGGTTCTCTGCAAGGCCTTCCAGTCTCGAATTGATCGTAATACAGTGATGCACTTGGCTCGTGTCGTCAAGGACTCTCAGTTTTTTCTTAGCATTCTGCCACATCATGTAACTGGAATGATGTCAGATTACATGCCAGCCCGAAGAGATCAGTATCCCCAGCATTTGAGCAACATCATCAGCCTTGTCTCTGATGTTCTCAACATGTTTCCACAAAGTTCTGTGCATTCCGTCTCCATGTTGGTGACTCTTTTGAAACCAACCATCAATCAATTGCGTGCCTCTGGTGTGGATGTTCTCGCCAATACTGATCAGGACTTGGAGAGGGTGCAAGGTTTGGTAAACCATCTCCAAGAGAAATCAAGGGAAGGCACCTTGCGCTCAGATAAATACTCATTCCTAACAGCTGATGAAGATGCCCCACCTGGGGAGGAAGACTTCAGGATGATGAGCATTTATCCCTCGTTTGAGGAGTTCCACCTTGATCAGAAGCCTTTCTTGAGGCCGAACATAATCTCTCAAAGTTTCCCTAATGCTCGGATTTATTTAGACACACACTTTCGACTTCTGCGTGAAGATTTTGTGAGGCCACTGCGGGAGGGTGTCAAGGAGCTTTTGAGGATACACCATACTGAGAAAACTAATGGAATACCAATGAAAAATAGGCAATTTGATGACATCAGGGTCTACTTTGACACCCGAGTGATTTTACCACTTTGCACATCAATGGGAATTGCCTACAAAGTGAAGTTTGACACAAGGCGCCTTCAGGTAATTCCAAATTACAAGTCTCTTTCCTATTGTCTGAGAGAACTCAATGTTCCTACAGTTAGTTTATTTCATTATAACTTCAATTGCAGTTTGTCCGTTGGGAAAATTCCAAACGCCTGCTTTACGGATCCCTTGTCTGCCTCTCCATGGACAACTTCGAAACCTTCCTGTTTGCCACTGTAACCGATCGCGACCCAAAGCTACTGAGACAGGGAGAGGTGAATCTCTGTTTTTCTCCTGACAGCAGAGCCGCTCTGGCCAGGGTTCAGCCCTCAGACTCATTCCTGATGGTCGAGACAACGGCTTATTTTGAGGCCTACCGATATGTCCTAGAGGGTCTCCAGGAGCAAGATGAGAATGATGTTCCCTTTCAAAGGTATGCAGATGTTAAATAAACATAAGTCTTGCTTATATGTGCAGAATTCTGTGGGTAGTTGAGGTATTTGTAATGTTTTAGAGCAGGGGTGCTCAATCCTGTTCCTGGAGATCTACCTTCCTGCAGATTTCAGTTGCTACCATTATCAAACACACCTGCCTGTAATTATCAAGTGGTGTTTAGGTCCTAATTAATTGGTTCAGGTGTGTTTGATAATGGTAGCAACTGAAATCTGCAGGAAGGTAGATCTCCAGGAACAGGATTGAGCACCCCTGTTTTAGAGTGTTTGATTGCTCATGGGTGGAATTTAGGTGAATTCAAGTAAAAAGAGCTTACTGCGAGAGAGCTTAATTCTACCTTTCTAGGTCATTGCAGTCTGATTTAGATGTTCTGGGTGGTTTCCAGAGTGACTCTATTTGGTTTCTAGTCAGATGAGCTCTCTGCAAAGTCTTGTTGTTGGATCCAGATCTGAACAATAGTAATTTTTTAGATCATTTGGCTTGTTTTCCAGTTTTCATACCTCCTGAAGGTAATAACTCCAAAAATGTGTGGGCATTATACATAATCAACCATTTGTGATATGTGGGAAGGTGGGAATCTATAGAGAATGGTCAAAACAATGCAAATATGCACATATATTATGGGTCTTTCAAGTGGCTGTGCACACGCTGATTGTTTTTTGACAACAAAGTACCATGAAAGAGATTAGACCAGGGGTGTCCACACTTGGTCCTTGAGGGCCGGTGTCCTGGAGAGTTTAGCTCCAACCCTAACCAAACACACCTGAACCAGCTAATCAAGCTCTTCCTAGATACATTAGAAACTTGCTGGCAGGTGTGTTGAAGCAAGTTAGAGCTAAACTATGGAGGACACCGACCCTCCAGGACTGAGTTTGGACACCCATGGATTAGAAGCAAAATCTGCACATTTAGGCAATATCCTGGATGTGTTTGGAATGTATGTTTACCTCAAGAAATAATCTGTAGGCATATGGCATACACCGCATCAAACCTTTTTTCTCTTTGAAATTCTAACATGAGAATTGTGAAATGATGTTGTTGTAGGTACATTGTGGAATGCAAAACAGATGTAGATCCTCCAGCTTATCTCCTGGTGGAAGGAAGGTCATATGATCTGTCATGCATCGCAGCAGAAGGGCAGGGGAAGATTCCACCCTTCAATCCTTTGACCCAAAATGCCTGGCCTGATGAGGAAAAAATGGGTCTCGATGAAAGCCAACTTCAAGCACTTAAACTGGCCTTAACCAAAGAGTTGGCCATTATACAAGGACCACCAGGAACAGGTAATTAATCTGTTATCGTATAGATATGGGGTTTAATGTGGTATACTAATTGATTTGTTTAAGTGAGGATATTGTTAAAAGGGCAAGGGCAATAAGGAGACTGGGGTTCTGTACCAAGCTGATTTAGTGGGGCTGAGTGAATATACTGTTTATGGGTCAAGATACCATAACAACATCTCTGGCTTTAGGTTTTAAAGAGTAGATCAGGGATATCAAACTCAATTCATGTAGGACCGCATCCCTGCACAGTTTAGTTCCAACCCTGCTACAAACACACTTAAGCTGTGGTCACACTGGGCTTTTCCTCCCATAGACTTCCATTTATACGCACGCGAATGCGTCAGACCGGAAACGCAGGGTCATGCGTCTAGTTTCGCAGGTTGCTGCGGTGCAAAGTTCAAGCTTGGTGGACTCTGACCTGCAAAATTTCATCACTTGACTGCGTGAGACCAATCGAGGATCAAAACATGACCTCTCTGGACAGAAATTTAATACATGGAGCCATCGCTCGCTTTTTTTAATGTCTAATAATCTTGTTTAATCCCGCCCCTTTTCGCAGTGCCGCATGACAGAATATCGCACACACAAACTCTAGTGTGACCGCACCTTCACCTGTAGGTTTCAAACAAGCCTGAAGGACTCAATTAGTAGGATCAGGTGTGTTTAATTAGGGTTGGAACTAAACTGTGCAGCGCTGCGGCCCTCCAGGAATTGAGTTTGGCATCCCTGGAGTAGATAATATTGGTATTTTTAGTTTTGTAGCATAGCTGTCTTTCAATGTAAAGTTTTTTTTTTACCTGCTATCAAAGTACGTCAGCATGATCAAAGTAATATGTTTGCATATTCCCTATCTGTCTGTGAACACAATAGACATGCAAAGAATAATCAAAACAAACTTGGCCAGCTGACCTACTAAGGCATGGGCCGGTATAAGATTCTGACGGTATCTTATAAAAATATTGCAATATCGATATCACAGTATTGTGCTCACTGCTCTAAAATGTATTCTTTTTAAATGTCTGGGTAAAAACAGGGTGTCTGCAGGTTTCATCACGACGATTTAGGACTTTTTTAAAGACCCTTTTAAGACAGTTATCAAGGAAATTTCAGACTATTACAGGGTAAAACACTAATAATTTTTTGTAATAGCCAGTGGGTTTTTTTTACTTGCCCAATTAAAATAAAAATTATGTTATTTCTTAGCCACTTATTTTAAATAATGTGTCAAAACAAGCAAACTCTAGTTATATACTTACATAGTTTTAGTAGCACAATCTTTCTTTAAAAAAAGACAAGTTTTATAAGCTATAATAACACACACACACACACACACACACACACACACACACACACACACACACACACACACATATATATATATATATATATATATATATATATATATATATATATATACACGCACACACGCACACACACATATATATATATATATATATATATATATATATATATATATATATACGCACACACACACACACACACACACATTAGGGCTGCACGATATATCGTTTCAGCATCGAAATCGCGATGTGCGCATCCGCGATAGTCACATCGCAGGAGGGTGCGATGCAAAAAAAAAAAAAAAAAAATTATATATATATTATGGGTGGAGCCGAACCGAAATACGGTATTCGGAAAAGCAGGAATAGCATGTTTTTAGAAATACTTATTTCAAACAATACTTGATAAATTATTTGTATTTGGGAACAAGAAAAACATTATATCAAAAAGCTGTGTTTCCTCATGAGACCGTAGTGCATGCCCGCGTGAGTGAGTGAGTTAGTGAGTGAGACGTTCAGGAGTCGGTGGGCGGGGTGGGGCCGGGGTAAGGAGACTGAGCAGGCTGCTTCTCTATACAGCAACAGAGAAGGCTTGGCAGAGCGAAAAATACTTTTCTGCATTACTATTTTTGTTTATTTTATCATACTAAAATAACACGTGACAGAAGTTCACTCAAAAGTGAAAGTTCTTTCTGTTATTAATTACTAACACTCCCGTCATTCCTACTACTTTTAGAACATAAATTTTGATATTTTACTATATGAAAATGCAATGCAGTTATGAAAATTGAGAAATTAAAGCAATACAGAGATCTGGTCCCCGCGTCAGGTCAGGGTGCAACCTTAAAAACGCAGACGCGGCGGAGGCGCACTAAACTCACACGGGAAAGAACTGGGCATTCAATTAATGTTTTAGTGAAATAATTCTTTAAATACAGCTCTTTTGATCTCTAAAGGGGAAAAAAGCAAAAGAAATTTGTCGTTAAATTAATTTTAGCAAAGACGCAACTGTCATTTTCACATTCGTTTTTCAGTTAGGGATTTGGTCTATTAGAGTAACCTAATAAAATTATTTTGTTGAACACTGTAGTCTACACAATAATCGATATTATAATTTATTATATACATTAGCTATTATTAAAACTAAACTATACAAGTGATAAAACAAAACCCTTTTTAATGTTTGCTTTCATTTTGACACCGCTTACAGTTGTAATAAGAAACATCACATTATGCAGAATCATGCAGTCTCAAGTTAAAAACACCTTTTGAGTTTAAATATGATCAGCCTGCCAAGTCAAGTTTACAGTGTCATAAATGAAATGGGTAGCATGGGTAAAGGGCATTTGCCCAGCACACAACCTCATGCGCTGCAGGTAGGCTGAATGATAATCTTTAAAAATATATAGGCTATGCAATACAAAACTTTAAACATTTATTCATTTTTAATGAAAAGAAAAGAAATCAGGAGAGTAAAATATAATTTAAACCACTGGTCTGGCGCTGATACTTTATTGTTTGTATCCAGAAGAAGGGGAAAAAAGCAGATGAAAACCTGGCTGGGGAGACGGCGATAACATATCAGTTCTTCAGCAAAGATCACGACATCATTGTGATGCGTTTATCATACAACGCAGTTCGTGCTTATAATCATTAATATTAACTAGTATTAATTCTCTCTCTAGACTTAGTTTTAGGGCTTGTTCTTGTCGGCGCAATATAGCCTCGGCTTACTGCACGTACGAATCCGATTGTGAAGAATGATTAAGCGCTTGCATTTTTTATAGCATCCTTTTCGCAAGTTATTCATTTGTTTTGTTTTTTAAGTGGTGCGAACATTATTTACTGGCAAACATGTTCCTCGATCTCGTACATCAACAAATAATGTAGCCTACTTAAGTTAATTTACCTTTTATGTAAAAATTAAGGAATAACCGAATTTAATATTAATAAATAAAACATCCGTATAAACGTACATGTTTATTTTTGAACTTTCGTTAATAAAACAACACAAAACTAATTATAAATATTGTAGTTAAATATTAAATTACTTTAACTGCTTGAAACTGTATAATAATAACAATTAAACGTTACATTTTTAAGAACTTAACAAATAGTCTAAATGGCACTTCACTAATCAGTGTAATAATATTATAAATAATAATAATTATAAGTAAAAAGAAAATATTAACCTAGTAACAATATAAGTCAGATGTTTAAAAAAAACAGCGTAGTTTCTCTCCACCTTTTGTAGTCATATTTTAAATTATTTGCCAGAAAAACTAACATGTTGACTTTGTCCGGTTTAAGTGAAGAATGGGGTTATAATGTTTCCAGCAATACACTGTCAGACGGTGTGCTTGTAGCGAAAATGCACAGACAGGTTACTTTTTCACAACCATGCGAGAGAGGGCTTCTCCTTCTGTTCCGCCGCCCGCATTTCTCGCAACGCAGGTTTCTCTACGCTGCGGAGCGGCGCGTTCTTAAATAGTTACCAAATAGCCTATGCTCAATTTCTCATCAATGTCTTCCATTTATCACTTTCTCTTTTGTATCTAGCCATTTTTGCAAATGCCTCTGCCATGCCTGGCTGAGCTGGGCTTCTGCGTTTAGAAGACAGGAGTTGATTAAGCCTACATGGCTTTTTTTCCCTCGCCGTCAATCGCCACTAGCTTGCATGGTTCGGGACCCGTGGATCTGCGTATCGATGGATTTGCTCCTCAGTGTTTGGACTCTCAGCACTCAGCAGTGAATATTAAAACACACTTTATTTAAAACCCCCATACAAAAAGCTTAATCCAAATTGATTCGTTCACCTTTCTTGGTCGGCACGAATCCAAAATGTTCCCAGATGTAAGAGTTCGTTTTCTAACAAGATTCATGGTTGAACTTGAACTTGCTGAATCGCGCCTAATTTATATTCTAACAGATATGTAATACTTGGCAACATAACAGTAATTTGTGTTTTAAAGTGCGTGACTTCACGTACTACGGCCGGTGGCAATGGATGAGGTGGCAATGACCACCGCGGTGACGCGGTTGTCATGGTGACCGTCACAGCCCTAGTTTTAAGTATATATATATATATATATATATATATATATATATATATATATATATATATATATATATATATATATATATATATAAAATATCGCAATATATATCGCAGGGGAAAAAAATATCGCAATGTCAATTTTTTCCAATATCGTGCAGCCCTAACACACATATATATATATATATATATATATATATATATATATATATATATATATATACATACATACACGCGCACACACACACACACACACACACACACACATACATATATATATATATATATATATATACACACACACACACACACACGCATATGTGTATATATATATATATATTTAATTAATTTATTTTTTTAATGTAATTTTGTTCTTTAATGTTCAATAAAGTATTTTCAGAATTCTGATGTCTAAATCAAGATCAGTATTTAGTTTGAAGGTACCTACACCTTTAACTTCTTGATTATTTTAAAATGCTATTTAAAAAAAAAAGGGATTTTTTGGTGTAATTTACTAAATCAACACACACACTCACAATGAGAGACTAATCTAAAATCTTTTCACAAATGCAATGTAGCTTAAACCATATTAAATTAAAGACAATCAGAACGTCTCAAAGTTTTACAAGCTATAATAAACAACATTAATGCACAACATAAATTTATGCATAACAACACGGAGAACTTTTAAACAAATGTTATTGTAAGGATGTAAGAGACAATTAAACCAAACAGCTAAATAGTTAATAAATGTTAATTTTGTTCAAGGTTTTGTTAGATGGATTTGTTGGTTGTACTGATTGGCTATAGCTTTACATGGACAATTAGTGAAAATTAAGACCTGTTTAAAAGTATTTAAAACCCACAACAGCATCCTTTGGATATCTGTTCTGCTAGCGATTGCTATTTTCCTAAAAAGCTGAAAAAAAAGTAAATAAAAAAATCCTACACATACCTTTGAAACAATATAGTAGAAAATTTTGGTGGTTTGAAAACCTTGACATTTCAAAACTGCTGTATACCTTGAAAACAGTTATCGTCCCATGCCTAGACCAATTACAGTTGGCTAAGTAAGGGAGGGGTTTACAAACCTTCTGCTCAGATAATTGATTTAAATGAACTGTATCAACATCATTGCAAACTGGTTCTAATACTAAATGCACATTCTAAAAAATTACAATGTTTTCTGACATTAGATGCATTCAAAGCTCTTGTTAGAGACTCAACACAATATTGGGATATTTAAAAATCCCAAGTTCTGAATTACTAAGACTCATGGTAAAACAAATGTTTGAATGTCCTGTTTGTGTTCTTGTTTGCAGGCAAGACGCATGTAGGACTGAAGATAGCTCAGGCTTTGCTAAAGAACCACGAGGCCTGGTCAAATGGTTGCCCTATGCTGGTGGTCTGCTATACCAATCATGCTCTTGACCAGTTTCTGGAAGGTATGGCGCTATGCATGCATACAGCATCTCATAGTTATAAGACCTTGTAGCTTATTTCTCTGTGCTTTGTGGGTAGTAACAGAAACAAATGGGATGGGATTCCCCATAGGTCACAAATGAGATCTCATGTGAAAAAGACGTGAGTCGTGAGTCGTGAAGCACTTCTTACAAGAACACAAGAACATAAGATTTAAGTTGTGATGTCTTCTCCAGAGAGATTTGGATTAATCCAGTGAAGTTTAACTCTATATATTTATGAAATTATAAGATATTTAACAACTTTTGTCGCAGGTATCCATGGCTTCCTAAAAGATGGGATTGTGAGAGTTGGAGGACGAAGTAACAGTGAAACTCTGAAGCGTTTCGGTCTAAGAGAGTTGACCAGGTTCAAAGACTTCCGCAAAAATTTGCCGCAGCACCTGAGAAGAGCTCATCATGAAGTAAGCCATTTATTATACCAGGGCTCGAAATTGCGACCATTTTGGTCGCATATGCGCCCGAAATTTAAGCTATGCAACCTCGTAATATATATTGGGAGCATTCGTGCGACTGCATGTAATGATTGTAGTGGGACCTGTTTTGGTTTTTTCTAAAAACGTGGTAAAACTGCTATATTGGTTCATATTAGCTGTCAATCACTCAAGACTTTCCGCTGTCAGATGACAGGGTGTGAGCTTTTGTGACCGCGGGGAATGCAAACGGCTGAAGAGTGAAAAGTATACTGAATCTCGATGCGTTGCATGCGCTGCGTGTTCAGCCAACACAATCTGATGGCAATTCGTAACTTTTTCATACGTTTCCTTGTGAGATCAGGCTGCAACAGCGCAAATGTCCGCTACAACACCATCGCCGAAGAAGCTCGCCTTTACTGAGTTTAAACTGATGCGGGTTATAACAAAGAGCAGTATTGCGCCGGTGGTCATCGGGAGAATCCTGCTCTGCCTGCTCATATATTGGGCCGGCTGACTCGCATGCTTTTCCGCAAACACAGAAAAATGTAATTCAGCGCGTAACAAGGCTGAGCATTAAAACAACACCAACCGAAACCAAAACTTTTAAAAGTGAGACTTTTCCTCCTTTCTTTTGTCCGCTCTTTCTTGAGGTGTTTATTATTTTTCTATTTAATTACTGATGACTGCTTTGCAGCTTGCAGCATTGAATTGAATGATTTATTATATTATTATTAGTTTTGTAGCAGAACTATTATTTATTAAATTGACATGCATATAAAAACAATAGTACAAAATAAATATTTCTTACTGCAATGCTTCATTTGTGTTTGATGCAAACCATCAATTTATTTTTCATAAAGTAACAGACTTTATATAGCAGATAACTTACATTAAAGCACATTCAAGGCAGCATGATGATGAGAAATATAATTCATTATTAGTATTATTGTCATCGTTGTCATCATTAATATTTTATAATTATTCAACATTCATTTTGATTTTGACAGTTGTTTCTGGGTTTTGTTAGTCCCAGTTGATGTTGTTTTCAAATACAATAAATCCCTTAATATGCTACTTGTCAAATACATCATTCATTTTTGGTGGGTGCTCCTACTTTTCTTCTGGTGCTCCTAATTTTTTTCTGGTGCTCCTAATTTTTTTTCTGGTGCTCCTAATTTTTTTTCTGGTGCTCCTAATTTTTTTCTGGTGCTCCTAATTTTTTTTCTGGTGCTCCTAATTTTTTTCTGGTGCTCATAATTTTTTTCTGGTGCTCCTAATTTTTTTCTGGTGCTCCTAATTTTTTTCTGGTGCTCCTAAATATTTCAGGTTGGGAGCACCGGTGCTACCAAGTAAGAAAGTTAATTTCGAGCCCTGTATACTATTGTATCATGACATTTAATTTTATTTCTTAAATTAGTTGTAATTATATAAGAGCAGTTCATTTGCAAAACAGATAAGTCTGTTCTTAGAACTTTTCAGTAATTGTGTTTTTTTTTTTCAATTGATCGTGTGTAAAAATATATTAAAACTATTTATTTAGGTGGTCCGGTGGTTAGTACTGTTGCATTACAGCAGGGGTGTCCAAAGTTGGTCCTGGAGGGCCGGTGTCCTGCTGATCTTAGCTCCAACTTGCTTCAACACACTTGCCTGGAAGTTTCTATTATACCTAGCAAGCTTGTTCAGGTGTGTTTGATTAGTGTTGGAGCTAAACTCTCCTGGACACGGCCCTCCAGGACCAAGTGTGGACACCCCTGCCTTACAGCAAGAAGCTCACTGGATCAAGTCCCGGCTGGGCCAATTGGCATATCTGTGTGGAGTATGGGTTAGGGTTAGCATGCTCCTCCCATGTTGGTGTGGGTTTCCCCCGGGTGCTCTGGGTTCCCCCACAGTCCAAACACATGCACTAAAGGGGAATTGATTTACTAAATTGGCCCAAGTGCATGTGTGTGTGAATGTGAGTGTGTATAGGTGTTTCCCAGTACTGGGTTGCGGCTGGAAGGGCATCCACTGTGTAAAACACTTCATTTTAATGGTCCATTTGAATATTAGTAGACTGTCTGCTTAATGATACTGCTCCTTCAACAGACATTTAACTGACTGTAAAAACTTTGGAGGTACATGTCAACTTACACTAATCCCAACTCCAACCCTAACCCCAACCTAACAGTCTACATATAATCTAATGAGAATTAGTTGGCATGTAGATGCAATGTAACTTAATTTTAACATGCGCACCATCAAAATAAAGTGTGACCAAAACGTATGCCGGAATTTTTGCCGGTTCATTCTTCTGTGGCAACTCTTGAAAAAATAAAAACTAAGCTGAAGGAAAATGAATAAATGAAGTATTTATGATTATAATTATTTATTTTTTAATAATGTTTTTTGTAATAGTGCTCTTCAGTACACAACATGATCATGAATAGGCATGGGAGGGTAAATGTTTTCAAGGTTTACCGTGGTTTGGAAAACTTTCTGCTATACCATTCCTTAGCCATGTGTAAGATTTTTTTAGATACATTTTTATTTATTACATTTTTTTAGGACAACAGTATCTCCAGAAAAAAAGATATCTAAAGATGCCATTTTAAATTGTTAAAGAAATACGTGTTTTCGAAACGAAGACAGCAGAAGTCAGTGATTCAATTGAATTATTTAGCCTGACATGTTTACAGTTCCAAAACATTTGAAAAGTTTCTCAAAATAAAATATATTGCTTTCAATGGGAAAAAAACAGACATTTAAAAAGAATATATTTTAGAGCAGTAATCACAAAACCCCGAAACCATGTAACTGATATTTTTATCCAAAGTTACCATACTGTCAGAGTCTTATACCGGCCCCTGCCTAGTCATGAATTCCAAAACAAACAAAAAAAATACTAAAATTGTTTTCGCAAATAAACTCTTCATGTAAATAATAATATTTAATAATTATATTTACTACTCTTACTAAATACATTTAAATTTAAATTTGCTAATACAATAATTGATTTGAAAAAATAAAAAAGCATTTTTTCAAATGACAAAAATTATGATTTTTTTTATTATTTATTATTATTTTTTAATTATTTATTTTTCCTCTTTTTTAAATAGTGTAACCAATATTCATCCTGAGTAATTTAATTGATGGCATGTGTATCACACGTGTGTATTGACGTATTGCATTACATCTTGGTCACAAGCCTCTTTAACTGCATTGAAGCCTATTGACTCAATATATAAACAAGCAGTTAAAATGATGGACTTAAAGCCTATGCGATGGCATCATTGTGATGTTTTATGTAAACAAAACCTTTTTAGTTTTGATAGTTTTATTTAATTTAGTTATCTTGAATTGGTTTTTAAATGTTTAAATAATCATGTTCCAATCCTGAATCAATCCAATCGGAATCAAACCTCCCACAGAGTTACACGGGCAACTGCTAATGGTGACTGTCTAGTGCCAAAGTGTAAGACCTCGTTTGGTCAATCTGTCTTCTCTGTAAAGGAAGCCAAACTGTGGAATGATTTACCGGTTAGCTTAAAATCAGAAAGTAGTAAAAATATTTTTAGAAGTTCATTCATTTTCTTGTCGGCTTAGTCCCTTTATTAATCCAGGGTCGCCACAGCGGAATGAACTGCCAACTTATCCAGCAAGTTTTTACGCAGCGGATGCCCTTCCAGCCACAACCCATCTCTGGGAAACATCGACACACACACATTCACACGCACACACTCATACACTACAGAAAATTTAGCCTACCCAATTCACCTGTACCGCATGTCTTTGGACTGTGGGGGAAACCGGAGCACCCGGAGGAAACCCGCGCGAAGGCAGGGAGAACATGCAAACTCCACACAGAAACGCCAACTGAGCCGAGGTTCGAACCAGCGACCTTCTTGCTGTGAGGCGACAGCACTACCTACTGCGCCACTGCCTCACCCTATTTTCAGTAGTGCTCTGGTTAAAAACAAAACAGCAGTGTTTGCACAGTCTACTGTTAGTTGGTTGGATCATGTTGCCTTTGCTTTTGCCTGCAGTAATTTTATGTAAAGAATTATAATGTTGTGTATGTTTTTATTATATTTCCATCTTGTCCATTTTTTTAAGCCTCCTGTGGACAGGTGTTGAGAATTAGCAAGTTTGCTAAAACACTTAAATGCATTTGGTTGTCCAGTGTAATTGTGATGTCCACGTCAAATAAATAAATAAATATTATAGTCTTAAATAAAATAAAATTAAAATGTCAGAAGACACATCTAAAGGTTATATCTAATAACATGTCTATGATATTTGTAATGAGTTTTGCTGTATGTCCACAGATCAGCAATAATATGCAGGAAGCAGAAACTCTTTTAAAGGCGCAGTCGGCTCAGCTTGAGTGCAGCTTGCGAGGCGTCCTCAAAGAAGACTTCTTGGAAAAGTACATCTCTGAACAGCACTGGCACAGTCTGTGTCTACAGCCTGTGAGTCAAAACATTCTCAGTATGAAGCTAGATTTTACATTATGATGTTTTTTTTCTGAAAACCTGAGATATGCAGCTGCACAGGTTAAAGGCACAATATGAAAGATTTCATTTTTCATTCAAGTTTTCCCAAAACCTCTAGTGCAGTGTAATATATTTTGCTGACTTGTGTACTTACATTGTCCTAAATGTTTTGAAGAACGTTCAAATCAAGCAAAAATCCTCAATTTTAGCGAGTGAGATGGAGTGATTGCTGTGTGTTTATGCTAATGCCGTCACACACCATTTATTTACAGTTTGGTTTTCTAATAAAAAAGGACCGAGGCTTTAATATGTTGTGTGTTTTATTAGACTGCACAGATCAGCGTTATTAAAGAAGACTAAAATATATTCAGTCTGATAAAACAGAGCTGTTTTTTCCACATGATCATGGGCTGAAGAACTGTAGGCTGTGGGTTGTTGCATAATAATTTCTTCACTTCTTTCAGTCTTATTCTGCGTCATACTTCCATGGTATTAAGTATTGAATATTACGGCTAATCAACATGATTTCTGCAGTAAGTTGATGTAATAAGATGGAATGAAGACTACAACTCCCATGAGTCCACCCTCAGTCACTGCATCATCAAACTTAACCTTTGTTTGTTGTGAATATGCGCCATCTAGTGGTGAAAATTACTTATTGTGCCTTTCAGAAAAACAACTTCACTGCTTTTTAATAAATAGTATTATTCCAATACGGATATTTACTTCTCTGACACAATGACCAGTATGTTTATTCATAATTAATAATACATCTTATCTTCCAAAATATTTATATAAAAAAATAACAACAGCATTCAAGGGTCACACTTTATTTTGATGGTGCGTATGTTGAATTTAAGTTACATTGCATCTAAATGGCAACTAATTCTCATTAGATTATAAGTAGACCGTTAGGTTGGGGTTAGTGTGAGTTGACATGTACTTGCAAAGTTTCTTATAGTCAGTTAAAGGTCTGTTTAGAAGCAGTATCAGCAGATATTAAGCAGACAGTCTACTAATACTCGAATGGGTAACACTTTATTCTGATGGTCCATTTAAGTATTCTGCATTTTAATCATTACTTTCTAAACTTAGAAATCAAATTATGCATTTAACTTTTATCTTATGAAGATATATTATTGGAGACACAGAGTAAAGCCTGATATTTATAGTCAAAGACAAAATTATTAGTCCTCCTGTGAAACAAATTTTATTTTTTAAATATTTCCCAAGTGATGTTAAACAGAGCAAGGAGACTATTGCACAGCATTTCATAGTATATTTTTCTTCTTGAGAAAGTCATTTCTTTTAGACCAAAGGTGGGCAAACTACGGCCCGCGGGCCATATGCGGCCCGCTGAATAATTTCATCCTGCCCGCGAGAGAGTTTTATAGTATACAACTTATATAGTGGATAAGTTGGCGGTTCATTCTGCTGTGGTGGCCCTCAGATTAATAAAGGGACTAAGCCGAAAAGAAAATGAATGAATGAATGAATGTATATGCATTTTTTTGCAAGTAATGTGCTTTATCAAATTCAAATTCAAAGTCAAAGTGTGTTTTATCAGATATCACTTAATTGCATATTTTTTCTCGGTTTGGGTTTCTCAATAACATTAAGACCCATTTTTCCTCTTATTTTCATCCAATATCTTGTCTACGTTTTCAGTAAACTGTTGCTTTTCAAGATTATTTCTGTTTCTGATCATTAATTTAAGGCATGCAGATATCAAGCTGTGAATCTGGTGGCTTGAAATATATTTATTACTTTTCCCTGAGCAATTTTCATAACTATGTGTGTGTGTGTGTGTGTGTGTGTGTGTGTGTGTGTGTGTTAGTTGAGTGATGGATTTGAGACTGTGGGGAAGAAGAAGCCTTCAATGATGGCAGAATGGCTCGGCATCGGATTCTCCTTGTTTTTTCAGGGGCCACAACAAACAGATGGAGAAGGTGAGAGATCGTCTGTATGATTTAAAACGCCCTTTACACACTCTTTTGATATTCATTGTAATGTAATTAGGCATAGGGCGTCACGGTAGCACAATCGCCTCACTGCAAGAAGGTCGCATATTCTCCCCGTGTTTGCATGGGTTTCCTCCGGACCCCCCACAAGTCCAAAGATATGCACTATAGGTGAATTGAGTACGCAAAATTTTCTGTAGTGTATGTGTGTGAATGGGAGTGTATGGGTGTTTCCCAGTTCTGGGTTGCAGCTGGAAGGGCATCCGCTGTGTAAAACATATGCTGGAATAGTTGGTGGTTCATTCCGCTGTGGCGACGCCTGATAAAGGGACTAAGCCGAAGGAAAATGATGAATGACGTAACTTGTTAAATTCAGCATGTCTGTCTTCTTTGTCAGTGGCGGAAGATGAAGACGGAGCTCAGCTGGAGGAAGAGGAGCTGATAGATATCGATGAAGAGGCAGATCTGATCCAGGCAGAGAGGATAGTGGTGGACGCTGAACACGGAGATAAAGACAAGTATAAGCTGAAAGTAGAAGAGAAGAACATCGCTGCCATGGCGGAGCTGATGCTGGCTTTAAACCTGAATGATGCTGAAGCACAGCCGGGCCAGAACCAGACACAGACTCACGGTCATGCTCAGGCTGATGAACAGGAATGGCAGGTATGAATATTCATACATTAAGTAATATAAGGAGCAACATGGTGGCTCAGTGCTTAGCCCAGCAAGAAGGTCGCTGGTTCGAGTCTTGGCTTGGCCAGTTGGCATTTCTGTGTGGAGTTTGCATGTTCTCCCGATGTTGGCATGGGTGTCCTCCACACTCCACAACACATGCACTATAGGGGAATTGGATGAACTAAATTGGCAGTAGTGTATGAGTGTGTGTGTGTACATAAGAGTGAGTATGGGTGTTTCCCAATACTGGGTTGCAGCTGGAAGGGGATCTGCTGTGTAAAACATATGCTGGATAAGTTGGCGGTTCATTCTGCTATGGAAACTGTTGATGAATAAAGGGACTAAGCTGAATGAATGAATGAATAAATAACTAATATATTATATAATCAAATATTAGTTCTGGCCAAAAATTAATCGCATGCAAAATAAAAGTTTGTGTTGACATAATTTAAGTGTGTGTGCAGTGTATATTTAATATAAACATGTAAGTGCATGTGTAACCCCACCGGTCCTTCGCCACCTAACC